CCTCCTCTTCTTCTTCTTCTTCTTCTTCTTCTTCTTCTTCTTCTTCTTCTTCTTCTTCTTCTTCTTCTTCTTCTTCTTCTTCTTCTTCTTCTTCTTCTTCTTCTTCTTCTTCTTCGAGGCTGGTTAAGGGAGAGGCTCTGCCGCTCCAGGGTCTAGGGGGTGCGTGCCCGCATGTGTGTGGCTGGCTGTGTTCACTAAGGCTGGATTCTGCAAGGCAAGGAGCTGAGATGCTGTTTGAGCCAAGGTGAAAGCGACCTGAGGCCTTATCTCCTCCTACAGACTTCTGGGTTTTCTTAAAGGTGCTGCTCCTGACTTTGGCGCAAGGGTTCTGGTGGGGCTGGAGTGCTTGTGGGGCTTGAGAAGTGAACTGAGGAGAGACCTCAGGAGGGGCTGTGTCAGTTCCGTGGTGGGGGATTCTGAGTTGAAGGAGGGAGGCAGCGCTGGCCCAGCGTCTTGCGGCTCCTACTGGACATTCAAGGGGCTTCAGGAAGGTGCCCCCGATGCTGCCAGAACTTCAGTCGCCTCCTCCTGGGGGTGGTGGTCTTCAGCTTATTTGCACAGCGAGGGAGAGCTGGTGCTCTGGTCTGTGGTAGCTTGTGACAGCGATGGTGATATAGACGTTTCCTAAATGAATGAATGAACCTGTCCGTTTTCCTTACCCTGAAGGCTGACAGTGCAGGTGAACCGAGTGGGCACGTGGACCCAGAGAGAGCTGTGAAGTGGAGCAGGCAGGAAGGCACGGCAGAAACTTCACATCTACAGCTCTGTCATGACAGGTCAGTGATGAACCGCCTAAACAGCTTTCTGAGTTGTTAGATCCCACGTGGGTACATATATGGGGGGAAGGAAGGTGGCACCGTGTAGCCCGATCACGTCGGGTCTTGGTAGCTAAGCAGGATCAGTACTTGGATGGGAGGCCACCCAGGAAGGCCACTTCCACACTGTCATTTTTGTCGTGTTTTATTGCTTTGGGTCCGTCTGTCCCCCTTTCCACATGTATTTTGCTCCCTCTGGGGCTACTCGGGAGAGCAAAACACATTTGGGGGGGAAAACCCGAAACAACAAATGACAGTGCGGAAGGGACGGAAGTCTCCGCAGAGGAAGGCAATGGCAGACCCTCTCTGCTTCTCACTTGCCTTGACCATAAGTCGGTTTGGCTTGACGGCACGTACATATACCTGACTGTGGTTGTGTGTGCGCGTGTGCGCATGTGTGTATTACACACACACACACACACATATATACACACAGTAGTATATACATATCGATGTATAAAATATGTGAAAGCTTGACTTTGTAGAGAGGTGATGGTATTAGACAAACTCAGATGTCTTTGTGGTGTAGCGTCAGGGTTCCCAGTCAATCGCGCTCAACACCAGGTCTTTAGAAGATTCAGTTTATTGAGAGAGAAAGTACTTGAGACACCATGAACTCTTGTGTCAGGAATGGCGGGAGAGGTGCGGGGCTCTTTGGCTATACCCCCTTCAAAGGGTACTACCCCCTGATACCACAAACCCAATAAGCAAGCACTATTAAGCGCGGGCGAATACCCAGCCGTTAGGTTCCCAGCAGGAAGCTCAGGGAAGAAGCGCCTCTAGGCTCAAGGACACCTGCAAGATAAGCACAAGCAAAGGAGAAGGAGGGGGGAGGCGAGCGAGCACATCCCTTTGACCGAACATTCCAACCCATGGCAGCACTAGCTGACATTCTGCCCCTCCAAAGAACCTCCCCCTCCCAGCTGTTTTGCAGCATACAAAGCAGATACGTATTTATGTATTATTTGTTTAGAAGTGTAGCTAGAGATGCAACCTGTATTTATGGCACAACCAGTCCACATGGAAGAACGAGACTTCGGAGAGATGTGATGCATCCAACAGAGGTATTCATTGTAAATTTTGTACATTCAAACCCAGATAATATTTATAAATTAAATCTTCCATTTGAAGCAATGATAGCCAAAGTTACCAGCTGCCAGGGAGAAATGTCCTTCTGAAAACTTCACCCTGAGAAATGTTGCTGGAGATCCTATAGGATTTATTGTGCAGGAATCAGTGGCTCTCTTGAAGTCAGAATGGGCGTGTCTCCTATCCCTCTGCAGATTTAATTAAAGACTTAATTACAACATTATCCACAGGTGTAGGTATCTTGTACAGACAGTTCCCCGGATCATAACAGAACATATTTTTTTAACCCAGGTCCTAGTTCCAGGGCTGACCATGTTATTCTTTGGTTAGAGCTAGACATCAACCCAGTAGCACCCTTTTCAAATGAAATGCTTTTTAATTCAGCAAAAACTTTCCTAGGTTCACGGCCGCCTGTTGCAGAAGTGGAGGTGATCAAGCCGAGACTGCGGTGCTTGAAACTGCATCCAGACTTCCTCCAAACACCAGTCTTGTGGATGAACGTCTCTGGCATTCATCAGTATTGCCTAATTCAGTGCGCCTTACATAACAGAACTTATTTTTTTAACCCAGGTCCTAGTTCCAGGGCTGACCATGTTATTCTTTGGTTAGAGCTAGACATCAACCCAGTAGCACCCTTTTCAAATGAAATGCTTTTTAATTCAGCAAAACTTTCCTAGGTTCACGACCGCCTGTTGCAGAAGTGGAGGTGATCAAGCCGAGACTGCAGTGCTTGAAACTGTATCCAGACTTCCTTTCAGTTGCCTCCAAACACCAGTCTTGTGGATGAACGTCTCTGGCATTCATCAGTATTGCCTAATTCAGTGCGCCTTACAGCACAGCGGCATTCTGCCTTTCCTGTGGGCAGTGTAAATGGGGTTTCTTCCCCTTTTGGTATAATCTGCCACATTCCTATCCTGGTGCTTAAATCCAGTATCCAAGTTATTAGTTTCTCTGAACCTGCCCTCATACCGCTTCACACATTCCTTTTCCTACGTTCACTGAGGCCTACACAGAAAGGGCTGGCGGAAGGAAAACCCGACTAGGCTGTGGGGTCACGTGCTTCTTCTGCTCCTTGAGCAAATTCCCTGCTCTCTCATCCTTCATTTACAAATGCATCTCTGAAATGCAAGCTGTAGGGGAAAAATCAAGGGGAAAAAGTAGAAGAGCAACTTAATGTAACAGTATTGAAGGAAAAGGGTAAAATGTTGATTCCCCCTCCCTCCCAGGATTTGCCAGGAGAAATACCTCTTCGGTACTGTGGAGCTGCCCTTGTTAACAATGGCTATGACAATATGACCTTGGGTAAGTGGGATGATCACTGTAAACATTTTATTTAGTTGTCGAAGGCTTTCACGGAGGGAGTTCATTAGTTGTTGTAGATTCTATAATGTTGTAGGTACTACAATGCCAAGACCACAGCCATACAGCCCGGAAAATCTACAACAAATAATTTCATTTAGGTCGAATCTGCATTTGCATTTTTAAATTAGTTTTGTGCTTCTGTGATGCCGTCTTTCTCCATGCTTGTTTGAATGTTGTTTGGGGAGGATTAGTTTAAAGCGGTGCAGAGGCGCAATTACAATGGAGCCGCCACGAGAGGGCGATAAACATATGCAGACATGCAAAAGTATACTCACACAGTTGAAGTGTGAAAACGAAAGCAAATGTAAGTTTTTTTGAAGATGGAGTCAGAAGGCTGGGACACCAGGGGGAAAGACAAATGCAGATTCGACCATAGTTGTTTGTTCATTTATTTATTTTATTAGAGTTATATACCGCCCTCCCCACATTGTAGGCACAGGGCAGTCAACAACATACGGATCTGCAACATCATTATCTTGTGCCAAGAATTGGCTAAAACATAACTTTCCTCATGTCCTATCTCCTTCTCCCCACCCCCTCTTGGATGCCTGCAATCAGTACACGCGCAACCCTCCCAGTTGGGCAAATAGTGCGCTCAGAGCTGTTTTGGCTCTAGGAAATGGCAGGTGCGAGTTAGCCTCATTGTTGTCAGCACAGCACTTTCTGAATGGGGTGCAGAGTAACTGTGCTCTTTCATCATGTGACTTCCCTGATTCTTATTTGTTAATAGGGGAATATGTGGAATATGACATGGCACAAAATTCAGACAACGGACAGCAGGATGGCCGAGTGCCGGTCTTGCCGCAGGGACCAGAGGAACATACAGAATGGAAAAAGGGAGGCCTTTTAGCGTTATTGAAAAGGTAAGGTAATAGCATTAGAGAATCTAGACTTCCTGGCTGGAGCCGGTAGAGTATCCACTGTCTCCATCAAGGGATTTAATATTGGAGATTAGTTTGATGCCTAGACCCCATTCAGGCTTTTAAATCAGTGATGTGTGTTTTGCAAGTGTACGGCAGAGTCTAAAGTGGTATTTACAGAAGCACCAAAAGCAAGTATTTATTTCCCTCCCCACCCCCCAGCTAGTTGCCTTCTCTGCAGTTTGTGCAGCTGTTAAAGCGAGATTTTAGAAACCACTTAAAGTCAGCAGAGGAGGCTTCTCTGGCTGTGGTTTTTTTTGTGTGGGTGTGTGCCCCTCTTACTCTGGCTCCCCAGGCGATTGCTGGGGTCTGCCAGTGGGGCCTGCGATGGGGCCTGGTGTGTGGGGAAGACGACCCGCATGTCGACTGCAACTGCGCCCACCGGCCCCTCCGCCTTCTGCTTTCTGTTGTCTTTGGTCTCCTTGTTCAGGACCGCTCTTGACTGCCCCCTGGTGGTGTGAAGGCATCTTGTAGTATCGAGTTCTGTAACAAAGCTTGAGTCCAGTGGCGCCTTAAAGACCAACAAAGTTTAATTCTGGGTATAAGCTTTTGTGTGGCTGTTTCCAAACATGAGGTTATTTTTTCCCTTCTCTAAACCAATCAGTGCAGTTCGGTGCTGTATTTGCGGGTTCCAGGTCTTGGGGGGGGGGAGAGGCTCCCTCGGCTATACCCTGTTCCTCTTATATCACAAACAATCTGCCACATGCCAAAGAACACAGGTAGCAGATGGAGGGTATGTAGGGTTCCTACACAGATGAGCAAAGCAGTAATGATGCATTTTCAAGTGCTATTAGAAAATGAATGTGTCGATATATATAAGTAGAATACTTCATTGTACCTGTGATAGACCAGAGAAGAAAATCTAACCGATTTGATTGAGCTGCACATGACTATTAGCAGAGGCCCTTGAGGCATGTCTGCTTAGGGTTGGGTTTTTTAAATCCGAAAGCTGCTACCCAGAATTAAACTTTGTTGGTCTTAAAGGTGCCACTGGACTCAAACTTGGTTCTGTTGCTTCAGAGCAATATGGCTACCCCAAATGAGTCTATCCAGTTCTATGTATTTCTTGTGCTGCTTAGGAGCCATATTGGGACTAGTTAGGAATAGCGTCTACCCTCAGGAACCACTTTATTCCCCAGAGAGCTAACCCCAGGACTGTGTATTTTGTCACACAAAAGCCCTCTTCTGTCTTTGTGCTCCTGCTGTGTGAACTAGGAGAGGATGGTGCACGTGAATGTTTCAACATGTGCCGCTGCCCTTTTGTCTGGATATGTGCGGCTCAAGATGGCTCTGCGGGATCCGATGCCCCCTGGCGGCTCATTGGATGAGCTTGTGGAGGACTGGAATAGCCGGCTCTCCGCTGCCATCGACGAGATCGCTCCACGACACCCTCTACGCCCTTGCACTAAGCTGGCTCCTTGGTACACCCAGGAGTTACGGCTGATGAAGCGGGAGCTCAGACAGCTAGAGAGATGGTGGTGTTGAACTCGAGACGAAGCAACAATATCATCTTATAGGACGTTTATGAAAGCCTATGAGATGGTGGTCAAAGCTGCAAAGAAGGATTTCTATGCGGCGGCGATTGCGTCCGCTAGCTCTCGCCCAGGCCAATTATTTAGGACGATTCGGT